CTGCCCTTCAACGGAAGGGAATCAATGCTCGGTGAATCACGGTCTCGCGCTCTCAATCGATTTTTGGCGTTGGAGAGGAAATTCTCGCGCGATCCTGCTTTGAAGACGGAGTATTCGACCGTCATCAATGAATACCTGGCGCTCGGACATTTGACTCAGGTAGGAATCGATGAACCCCAGTCACCGGGTTTCTACCTGCCGCACCATGCGGTCGTAAAGTCGTCGAGCGCGACCACAAAGGTCCGTGTTGTGTTCGACGGTTCCTCCAAATCGAGTAGCGGCCTATCACTGAACGACGCGCTGATGATAGGACCCACGATACAGGACGACATGTGGCTGCTACTTCTGCGATTTCGCATGCACGTGTATGCGCTGACTGGCGACATCGAGAAGATGTATCGCTAGTTCCTCGTTCGGCCAGAGGATCGCAAATATCAACGGATCCTGTGGAGAAACGCACACCACGAGCTCACTACGTATGAGCTGAATACGGTCACGTTCGGGCTCTCCGCGGCTCCATTTCTAGCAATTCGGTGCATACACCAGCTAGCGAACGACGAAGAATCCCACTTTTCAGCAGCTTCAAGGACGTTGAAGAGGGACTTGCACGTCGACGATTTGCTGACTGGTGCCGATACATTGGAGGAAGCTCAGACCGTACGCAATCAGGTCATCAACTTGTTGGCGAAGGGAGGACTCAACATACGTCAATGGAGGTCAAACGAACCCAGGCTTTTGACCGACCTCTCAGCTTAACAAGTACATCCNAGACCGTACGCAATCAGGTCATCAACTTGTTGGCGCAGGGAGGACTCAACATACGCCAATGGAGGTCAAACGAACCCAGGCTTTTGACCAACCTCTCAGCTCAACAAGTACATCCCAAGGTCTTCGGTGACGCGACCACCGTCGAGACCCTCGGTGTGGTATGGGATGCAACAGGGGACATCATCAGATTCACTGTGAATCAAAACGTTACCACACGGGTAACGAAACGGTCCATCCTGTCATCGATAGCAAAGATCTTCGATCCACTGGGACTTCTCGGACCGGTTACTATCCTCGCGAAGCTCATGATCCAGCAGTTATGGCAACTGAAGGTCGATTGGGACGAATCCCTTCCAGTTGGCATACACACCGAATGGTCAACCTTCGCAGAGGATCTAGTTCACCTCAACCACTTGTCATTCCAGAGAAACGTCACCCAATCGGGTCATCGCAAGATCGAGCTTCACGGATTTTGTGATGCCAGCGAGCGAGCGTATGGAGCATGTATCTACGTTCGATCCATCAGCACCAGCGGCAGGATACGGGTACATCTTCTCTGCGCAAAGTCTCGAGTGGCACCACTGAAGACCGTTCCGCTCGCACGACTGGAGCTTTGTGGGGCTTCCCTGCTGGCTACTTTGACGACCTCGGTTCAAGGGGCACTCGGCACCGATCCCGCAGCCATCACCTTCTGGACCGATTCCACCATTGTTTTGAATTGGCTCCACAAGGAACCAAGCGGTCTCAAAACATTCGTTGCGAATCGCGTAGCGGATGTTCAGGGTAAAACCGACATAAACGCGTGGCGACACGTACGTTCCCACGACAACCCGGCGGATCTGCTATCCCGGGGACAAGCACCAGCGCAGTTCATCAAGAACCAACACTGGCGCCACGGACCCACCTGGCTTTCAACACATAAATCAACGTGGCCTGAAACAATATTCGAGATTCGGGAGGATGTATCGGAGAGAAAACGACTCACTTGTTTCACCGCGACCATAAACAGTGAGGAAATTTTGAACCGATTCTCCTGTCTTTCTAGGTTAAAACATGTCACCGCGTATTGCCTACGGTTCAAGAATCCACGAGCATTCAGAGGACCTCTCACCATCGAAGAGATCCAATCGGCCACCGTCCGCATCCTACAACTGGCACAGGCAACAGCGTTTGCATTGGATCTTCGTTCATTGAGATCCGGCACCGAGCTCCACAAAAAGAGCAAGCTCCTTCCGCTGAATCCGTTCATCGACCACCAAGGACTGCTACGCGTCGGAGGCCGTCTCGTAAATTCGACGCTGTCTTACAATCAGCGCCATCCGATCCTCTTGCCGAAGAGTCATCATGTGACCGAACTTATCATCCGCCAGGCCCACCTCGAGAACCACCACGCAGGGATCACGACTACCCTGTACGCCGTCCGGCAGGCCTATTGGCCCATCGACGGCAGAAACGCAACGCGGAAGATCGTGAGGCGGTGCGTCAAGTGCTTCCGTATGGACCCACCTGCCACAGCCTGCAGCATGGGAAACCTACCTGCCGCACGAGTAACCGAGCACCGCCCGTTTTCCAATTGCGGCGTGGACTATTGTGGTCCCTTTTATATAAAAGAGCGACGACATCGCAATCGCACTCGACTCAAGGTGTTCGTTGCTGTCTTCATTTGTTTCTCAACGAAGGCAGTACACCTTGAAGTCGTAAGCGACATGACCACAGAAGCATTCATCGGGGCTTTGCGACGATTCATCTCGCGGAGGGGGATCTGCAAAAACATCTATTCCGACAACGGCACCAATTTCGTTGGTGCGAACAACATGTTGTCCGAGATGCACGAGATCTTGCGCAATGGTGAGAACAAAATCCGCCACTTCCTAACGGAGAAGCAAATCTCGTGGCATTTCATCCCGGCGCTGTCTCCGAATTTTGGCGGCCTTTGGGAAGCCGCCGTCAAATGCTTCAAACACCACGTGAAGCGCGTGGTAGGAGAAGAACTATTCTCATTTGAGCAGTTCAACACTTTCGTGATAGAGGTCGAAGCCATCCTCAAATCCAGACCCTTGACTCCTCTATCTTCCGACCCGAACGATCCCATCGCACTCACTCCTGGCCACTTCTTGATTGGTGATTCCTTGACAAGTTTTCCTGAGATTGATTTCAGAAAAACTCCCAGCAACCGACTGTCCAATTGGCAACACATACAAAAGGTCAAACAAGACTTTTGGGCCCGCTGGTACAAGGAATACATCAATCAACTCAACGTTCGCCAAAGGTGGACCAAGGGGTCGCCCAACATCACCAAGGGTACCATCGTCGTCCTGAAGGAGGATAATCTCCCACCACTGCAGTGGCGTCTCGGCTGTGTGGTACAACTCCACCCAGGACAGGACGACGTCGCCAGGGTCGTGACCGTGCGGACTTCCCAAGGAGTCTACAAGCGGAACATGCGACAACTGGCACCTCTGCCCATCGAGCACAGTGCTTAGAGACATTTTTAAACATACCGCAAGCAACCCAGGACATCGCGATCGAATTAGCTAATAAGTACGCTGATTGTGTATTGACCGACTCGGTCGCTCAACGGGGGGAGCATGTTCCGTTCCGGAAGACCTCCCGTAGGCCACTTTCGCGAAGGTTTATGGCGTGGACCAGCGAGGATCATAAAGAGACGGAAACCTTTTTTCCATCTGCAGAACATCGGTGCAGGGTCTTCCGTTTCTTTAATGACCGCGACGCGTCGTAGGCACGAAAGGCCCGAAAAAACAACCCCGTCGTAAATTTGAGAATTTGACGGGTCTTGAGAAAGTTTAGTCCCAACCGTCGCGGGGACGATATCTCAGGCCCCAGGGGACCTCCCGACCACGCAACTACGCGACACCCCCCTCTCCTAGACAAGGCTCGTGTAGGACGATACGAGAGGGTGGTGACGAAAAGCTTAGAGGACACTGATTGGAAAATCGCAATCTTCGAGAGAAACCAATCAGTGCGTCCCGGCGTGGAGGTGGAGGTTCCTTCAGGGATCTCAAACGGGGGTGACCGATATAAAATAACGCGACCAGTCGGGGCGCTCACAGTAAACGCAGAAAAACCAGTCGGAGTCAAACAGTCAGAAGTCACAGTCGAAAACACTTACACGCGCTCTCTTTCTCGCCCGAGCTCTAGCTCTAACATACAGTACAATCGGACACTCTCTCGAGTTCACGAGGCATTCCGTAGAATCCTCATCCGCGGCATTACTTCGCTAACGAGCGAACGCAATCGCGGGTCGAAAAAGCTCGACTCGCTTCGCACACATTTTCCGCGACACATTCGAGTCCCTCGAGTCGGATAAGTGCGAAACAAGCGGTATCCGGTGAAGCGGCCAGGGTCATCGGAGCAATGGCAACCACTGGGCCCAACTATACACAAGCATGGCGACTGTTAGAAGAAACGTATGCCAACGAACGACTAATCGTCACGCGGCATGTGGATCTTTTAGTGCAAACAGCTCCTGTAGCCAAGGAAACTGCTGCTACCTTGAGAGAATTCGTGAACCACGTGCAACAACATCTTCGGTCCCTCAAAACTCTCGAGGTTCCAGTAGAGCATTGGGACACTCTCCTGCTGTCCATATTGTTGCCCAAGCTCACGCAACAAATCAGGCTAACTTTCGATCACACCCTCAAGGACAACGAGCTGCCGAAAATCGAAGGGTTGATGAAGTTCCTCACACAACGAGCGAGAAGCCTGGAGACGACATCAGTCGCCTCGGATCCAGCGTTGACTGCTTCACCAACGAAGAAGAAGCTATCTTCACCGACCTTATCAAGGCGACAATTTCCTAAGCCGAGAAATTCTTCGCCAAACAAGCCATCCAAGGTGTTTTCAACAAATACTAAAAGCTTAAAAACCGAGTGTTCCTACTGCAAACGCAGCGGGCACTACATCAGCCGATGCGAAGGTTTCCACGCCCTTCCAGTGAACCAGCGCATCCAGTCGGTGAAGCGGGCATCTTTGTGCTCCAACTGCTTACGCCAGGGGCACACGTCTGAGCAGTGCAACGCGTCAGGCTGCCGAATTTGTGATGAAAATCACAACACGCTACTGCACGTTCCACGAACTCCAAGAGGTTCACCATCTCGAAGGTCGACGGACAACGCACGTGAAGCCTCGACCAGTCCGGCATGACCAGCCTCCGAGATCCATGGATGCACTGCTCTCTCCGCTCAGTCAGCATCCAACCAGCTGATGACCACCGCAATACTACAAATCTATGACAACCTCAACCAGTTAACAAGATGCAGAACGCTGTTGGACACGTGTTCAACGGCAAACTTCATCACGGAACGGCTGGCGTCAAGGCTCCAGCTACGCAAGAAGAAATGCTCAACGTCCATTACAATATTAAACCAACTAACGACGTCGAGTATTTCCTCACTCACGGCAACGATCCGATCGAAGTCCGGCGGATTCGAGAAAACTCTGGAATTTCTCGTTATCCCCCACATCTCGGAGACGGAGCCACAACAACACATCGACCGGAGCTCTATCCAGATACCAGCAAATCTCCAACTTGCTGATCCAGAATTCCACAAGCCAGCCTCAGTCGACATGCTACTGGGGACCGGCATAACACTTTCGCTGCTCAGCGTCGGGCAAATCGACCTTTCACCTCGCAATGGACCTGAGCTTTTTCTGCAAAAGACCCAATTAGGGTGGGTAATTGGTGGCAGTGTTAGTTCTACAACAAGCCGAGAACAACAACGACCAACGCCTTCCTCCATCAAATCCACGCAGCAGAAAAGAAATGCAGTTCCACAAGTCACCGACGAGTCAGCATCTCCAACGAGCAGAGAGGCAGACGATTCGCCAAACGATGCCACGCAGCCAACCAACAACAAGGGAGTGCAGTCTTCAGCGAACCAAGAAAAACCCCCCAAGCGGACTTGTCACGTCACTCAACTTGAGTTCGACGTAAAGAGATTCTGGGAGATAGAAGAAGGACCATCTACGCGTCATCTCTCCTCAGAAGAACTGGCCTGCGAGGACCATTTTCAGCGCAACGTGCAACGGGACGACACCGGCCAATATATCGTCGCACTACCATTTAAAAATTTCAGCTCACTACAACGACGATTGAAACGAGATCCAGCCTTCAAAAATCAATATGCCGCAGTCATGCAAGAATACCTGGATCTCGGTCACATGTCCGAAGACACTGACCCAAACAACAACCATGGGTTTTTCCTGCCTCATCATGCAGTCGTGAAGGAAACCAGCATGACTACCAAACTTCGTGTGGTCTTCGACGGCTCGACAAAAACCGACACAGGGGTTTCTCTCAATGAAGCTCTCATGGTCGGACCAACCATTCAGGAGGATCTTTTCTCGCATATTCTTCGGTTTCGACTTCACAATTACGTCCTTACCGGAGATATCGAGAAAATGTATCGGCAGTTCCTTCTACGCGAGGAAGACAGGAAATTTCAACGGGTCATCTGGACCAATCCA